TTTTTATTTATGAAGATAATCACAATGCCATTACTATTGCTAAGAATCCAACACACCATAGCCACACAAAGCATTGGAATACAAAACTTCATTTTATTAGGCAATGTGTGGAAAAATGATAAATTGGTTTAGAATATTGTCCCATGGAATAAATGGTAGTAGACATCTTCACAAAATCTCTTCTTAGAGATAAGTTTCTAGTATTTAGGAATATATTAGGTTTTATTTCATTAAAGAATCAAGTCCTATTTTTGAAGAAGGAATGTTGAATATTCTATACTATATATACCAAAAGTTGTGACTTATCTAATATTTAATTAAAACATTAGAAGTGTCCTTACTTTAGCTTCTGGCACATTCTTGTTTGCAACAAAATGTTATTCATCAAATATTTGTAACGTTTTTGCTATTAGGTTGAATACACATAGTGGCAATGCAAGTCCATAAAATCTTCAAGTTTAATATAATATTCTTCTCTTTTTTTTTCTTCTTTAAAAAAAAAAAAACAAAACAAAACAAAACAAACAAACAAAAACAAGTCCTCTACATACCTTGCACATTACTCAATAGCCAAAAGCCCTTCCTTCAAGGAACCCACCTCTTGGACTTCCTGACTTAAATCACTAAACTCTATAACATCATTTCAAACAGTCAGAACCTGTGACAAATATACAAGGAATACACAAGTTGTGTGTGCAGGAAATGAATGATAGCACTGATACTACACAAAAAATGCACTTTCTACAATTATAAAGGAGGACACCACAGTGAATCAGAAAACTAAAAGTTTTTTAATAGAAGTGACTGAATCTCCAAAATCCTGTTCAAGACAAAATCTTAACTTTTCTCCTTCAGCTCAATGGATGCCATCTTGCCTTCATAGCTTGACTTCAATTGGATACTACAAATGGATGCTTAATTAAGAGGCATAATATATACTATGATAAAGGAGCCATTACAAATAATCAGGGGTTACAATTTCTTACTTTTTGTTGTGCTTAAAATATGTCACAAGAGAATTGTTCATTCATATGAGTGGCTGAGGAATTATGCAGTGAAAAGCATCACATGAGTTTATTTTTTAAAAAAAGATTTACAGCAAAGTGCTTAGAAAATTTTACCATAAAACATATATTTGTTAATTTGTATTAAAAAATTTCATGCTATTATTATTAAGAATATTACTGAATTTGTTTTACTTTAAAATATACATGAATAGCATTGGATTTTCATTGATAAAACATGATTGTAAATTTACACAAAAGATTTATATTCAAAAGAAAAGATTGTGCTCTGTATACTTACTTATACAAGTAAAACATTATAACAAAAAAAAAATGGTTCTCTACAATCTTTCATGCCTAAGTTCTAAAATCAATTTTTATTTAATTTATCAAAAACAATTTCAGCAATGTTGCTAATATTTTTCAAACATGGTATCAAAATTCATGATCATCTTTTGTAAGTTGAAAAAATACACAACGTTATTTTATAAAAGATAATCTTCTCAAAATTTTCAATGATTTCATTTAAAATAAATATAATTTAAATTCTTACATTTTTTATTTTTGTTATTTTGGTAATTTAAAAGATGCACTATTAGAAATTAAAAGAGTTAAAAAGCTTTAAACTAATAGTTGTAACTTTAGTTGTGTAAAAGTTATAGAGGTTTTTAGCAATTTAATATATATATATATATATATATATATATATATATATAAATTAAAACATTTGTATTGGGAAAATAATCCACAAACTTCTAAAGTTATACTTCTTTTTGGAGAAGATTCAACTAAAACTTACAAGTTCTAACAAGATTATTTTGTGATCTTGTTGTGCTTTATAGCCATAGATGCTTTTTATAAAAACACATCAATGTAGGATTATCTAGAAAATTTTCTTAAAATATTATTATGCTGTATATTGCAAAATTTTACAAGTTTTTTATATTACATATATTATAAAATATAATTTTTTTAAATATATGTCATGTTTCATAAGGTTATTTAACTTATTCTTAAAAGTCTCTTGAATTTTCTTTAGACATTGTCTTTCTTAATGTAAAATTAAACAAAACATTAAAGAAGTATAATCTTTTTTATATTGCCTAGATAGGAATAAAGGTTTTATTTTTCTGTAATAATAAAAAACAAGAAAGTTTTTCTTAACAAACATTTTAAACATTATAAAATATTTATTTCTTTAAGTCATCTCTCTCTTTATTAACAAACTGGCTTATGTAACCACCCTCTAATAATGTGTTTTATCAATAAAGTTTAAATAAAAAAGAAAAAAATATATATTTTATATAAAAATTATCTAAAAACATCAAATATTAGTCTTAAAATTATATAAATATAAATATATATATATATTATAAAATATTTATAATATTAAAGGAACTAAATTTAATTTTATTTAAATTAAAAAACTTATAAACTTAATAGTAAAAGAAACAAGATTAAATAAACATAAATATGTAACTTTATCAATAAAAAAAATAAAAAAACTCCATATATATGTTTCAAAAAGAATAATAAGACACCAACTACACAATAATACAAAAGTGATTAAAAGCTTGTAGCATCTAAAAGTAAAACAACACCTACTTCTCCTATATGTATATATATATATATATATATATATATATATAACTTATTAAAAATTTATAAATATGATCAAATTAATTTTAAAAAAATTTCTAACAAATAAGGTGGACTTTTCAAGAAAAGAATAGAGTTCTAGAACTAAAATAGTGTTACAAAATCTTTAAAATATTTCAAATAAATTAGACTATTTAATAAATTTATATATATACATATATATATATATATATATATATATATATATACATACGTTTAAAAATAAGTTAAGTCTCTTAAAACATGTTTGTGAGACTACAATTTGAATTGTATTACAATTACATTGCATAATTAAAAGAGATCCAAAGCAATTTAGAAATTTAATGATAACATATAGAGCTTTTGGTATAAAATTGTTTTTTGATTTAAAAAATCTTGATCATATTACCATTTTTTAGGAAATCTTCTACTAAAACATATTAGTTGTGATATCCCATTAAGATGTTCAATAATAAATCTTGCAACAACTATACAAAAACTTGCAATAAAAGCCAATAGGAATTTGTGGCACATTTTTTAAAGAATCAAAAAAAAAAAATCAAAGATTTTCTAAGGAGTATTTTAGAATTATTTTTAGTAATATGCAAACTAACTTAAATAATTTTATTAAAAATATTCAGATTTAAATGAAAAAAAAAACATATTACTTTAATTAATTAATATTATTTTTTCAATAAAAAAATATTATAATTATTATTATTATTATTATTATTATTATTATTATCTTTTAAAAAAGAAATTAGCACTAAAGTAATGATATTGAAAAATAAAGTTCATGTATTTATTCTTAGTCTTATTTAACTGAGTATTATGATGCTATTGCAATGTTATTTTTTATACTATGTACATCTATTTATTAATGTGTAGATTCATTTTATATTTTCTCAAAGCATTTATTTATTCAGGTGTAACTGAAAGTACTTTAAAAATTCATTAATAAAATTTACAATTATTTATGCAAATTAAAAATTATTGCATAGTTTAAAGAAAATATAAGTTTTGAAAGATTTAAAAGAATAATTTTTTATGTTGATTATAAAAAACCATCTACCTCAATATTAGATAGACTTTGAAATAGATTTTGTTTGCAAAATTTTCTTTTGTATATTTTTAGTTTAGACAAGTGAGGTATTTTATAAAATGATATTTACATAACATTAAAAAAATAATTACTTGCTTTTTATAATACTCAAAAAGAATAGTATAGTGACAATCATAAGTGAGTATGAAATTAATAATCTTGATTTTAACTTAAACTATGACTGATATATTGTGGCAAAAATCAAATTTAAAAGAGAATTAGCCTCTAAAATAAATCAATTATATAGCAACCAAAGTACAAGTTTAATAATGCCAATGGGAGAGAACCAGGTGGATTAGTTCACCTACCTCTCAAATTCAATTTTTCTCATATTTGGGCTGCAATGAATCAATGTAATCTAAACAACAAATCTAACATTCTAAATGTGAATCAATACGAGACCCCTCAAAAGAATGTTAGAATTATGGACTTGTATTGAAGATTGTTGGGCTCATATAGAAGATTATTGAAATTATATAAAAACATGCAAAAATATATTAGAGCTATAATAAGGACTAATGCTAGATGGACTGTCTAATGGATCCATCTCAAATATCATGATCAAAATTGAACTTTGCACCTAAATTTGTGATCATTTTTTCCTTGGATATATTTATGTATATTTGATTTCAATCACTGTGCCAATATACTCCAATGAAGAGCCGTCATCTCTACTTTATGGTACCATTTTTAGTACAGGAATTGGTTTTTGAATCAGGCCAAGCTGGATTCTTACTCAGGTATGATTGTCACTAAATATCCTTGAGGACAAATAACGGTTGCTTGGCATATTTGTTCCCAACTAACCACTTCGGAGACCTTAACATTCAGTTCACACCTCCACACCTCCAAATAATGTGATCATGATAATCTAATCAAAGAATTGCTTTAACAGTTGCTGAGCACAACAGAATAATAGAATCCACTGTTGTTCAAAATCGTTACAATCAAAATAAAGTTGCAGATGACTCCAAATAATGATGAGATGTTCACAACTCGTGTACAAATCGTTGTAATTGAACATTGTACATGCAGAGCCTTCACATACCATTAGTAAACCAATTCGAACACTTATGAATATCGCAAATGAACCGGCCAGGGTTAAAAGTTATATTAAAACCTTTGCGAGGAGAAGAAAACTCATACGCTTCAACAAGTAGAGACGAATATACGGTAAGAGCATGTAAGGTAATACAATCAAGAGTAATTTTAAAATAAATAAAATAAAATAAAAGCAGAGAGGACGTAGCGCTGCAGTATTTTCTTAAGAAACAACATTTTCTTAAATAACTCAAAAAATTCCATCATATATTGGATGTACAGCATACAATTTACAAAAGCTCATGGGGACACCTCATCTTATAGAGGTAATCAATGAAAAATTGGATAAGTTGTAACCTATGACATTCAGCCTCTTCCGTTGCTGTACAAAAATCCGCTTTCACAATCTCCAGGACACTCTCCTCTAAAAGGCGAAGAGTGGAAGTTTTAGTACCCCTCTCTGAGTGTTAGCTCAATCTTCTTCATCCTCTACTTCCGCGCCTTCCTCTATCTTTTGCTTCAACCAATTGGACACCTCCCTAATTGCCTGCTCAACCCACTTCTTATTTAAATTAATCATTCACAGACAGTCCTAAACCTGGACTGCCAACACTGCAAATTGGAAGTGTGACTCTACTTACTGATATCACATTCTTGATAACTGGCAGTATACATACTCGACGGGAGTGTCTCAAAAAAAAACCTATATTAACACGCGTGGCGCAAGCTTACCGAACAAGGCAAATGTAATTGAAAAAAGTTAAGTGTGAAAAAATCCTGAAACTGAGAGAAACTGGAGAATAAGTACATCTATAAACAATTTGATTAAATCTTAACCCTCAACCTTCAAGCAGAGCATGAGTTTACCTTGTCTCTTCCTGGTGTCGAATCGTTAACATCATCATACCAATCAGTGTATGCTTTCTTAGATATAACCTGACCAAACCAATTACCAAAATAATCTATTAGGACAGCAGAAACTTAAGAGCGAAAGCCTCAACATGTTTGGCAAAGTCGGCTCTTTCACAGAAAAACGTCTCGCAAAGTCGAGACAGACTACATTCTATATGCCAGCAGCTTGTTGGTCCAAAAGGAGTATAACAAGTCCCAGATTGGCAGCATCTTGAAATACTTCATTGAAAACTGACTAAAAACTATTGAACTACCTCAAGGTATCCATCAAGACACTACTGCGACAAAAATCATGCAAAATTGATGATGAAGCGTTGAACTTGAACAAATATGAGACCTAGCAAGTCTGGATACTGGATTCCTTTCTAGCATTGTTATCCAATATCGTTCAAACTGAGGATTGAGCAAAAAGCCCGAGTAAGAAAAGGATTCAGAGACCTGACCAAAAGAATACTGCACCCAAAACAATCATTTTACACAACAAAATTTCTACGATCATCTGCGTTTCAACTGAAGTACCTCTTCCTGGGAGAAGTTCTCAAATAGCTTGGTCATCAGACCTTGCGGATGACCACACTCATTGGTAAACAACAGTATTGCTATAATATCTGCAGGTACAAAGCATCTTTATCAGATACAGCACATCTACAAGGGTTAAGGCAACAGCAACGGCAACAGCAATATGCCCTACGGTTGAATACGTAGCAAAAGATCGTCTCATGTTGCCCGGGTTGAGAAGTAACCCACATGCTAGAATTTGTATAAGAAAATGGCTGTGTAAAGACCATTAGCTAGATGGTTAGCTACTTAAGACAAATTCACCAGCAAGAACCTCTCCAACTACCCTTGAGACAATTAAATCTCACAGAACTCAAAAACTAGTGCAAGTTTTTTGTAAAGCATCATACACTTCAACTCGCATACCAAAAATGGTTCAACACAAAAGGACGAGAGTGGCAAAAGCTCACATTGTATTTGATTGGCTGTTGCTCTACCCCCTGAAGCGCACTTCTTTAACAAGGGTGCATATGCCTTAATGTCCACTTTCAAGTTTGACGACTGCATTACAAAAACCAGCACAAATGCACATAAGACCGCAGTCACGTTCCACCGCTTCAACGCATCCAACTGAAACTAGATCATCGTCTTTCAGGTCTCCCTATATTCCGCTGTTACACAATCAAAAAAGACTACTCGGTATACCAAAACCCATAGAAGCTCCAAGACGTTGAGTTTTGACCGCTACGAACAGGCAGGACTACCATGAAACTCAATGTAGACGTCGTAAACGTCTTTGTTTCGCAAAATACGGACTGTAAAATCCATTGGTTAACTGGATCGCATCAACAGTGATAAAAGACTGCAGTACAACAATCAACTCATTTAGACAACAAAGTTACCACTAAGGCAGATCTCTTGCTTACCGAAATATCGGTTGATTGCGGGTCAGGCAACGCACGTCTCAAGACTTGAGTCATGAGCATTCGCATGAATGAAGGTTCCGAGTATGCGCTTGGAACATTCTTCTGAAAAATTCAACCAAAAGAATCAGTTAAGAACAGCATGGGTAGATACACAGAAGCTTATGAACTAAAATTCCCGGTTTGTCCTGAACCAATTTCAATTCATGATTCCGGCACTGCTTTTGGGTGGCAGTCAGAGTGCAATAGGAAGTTACGTGGCGCACACGCTAACAACACAGAAAGCAAGACGGCGATAGTGATAACTAACTGACGGAGATGAGTTGAAACTGACATGAAGTCCGAACAAGTTACCTCGATCCATTTGATAATATCCATTACTGGCACTTTTCTGTCAAGCGAGTCTTTGATATACCTTTCCAAAGGCAACATCTGATTGTACACAGGGAACGAAAACATCAGCTCCACGTTCTTGCAAACAGAATCGAAGAGCAAAACAAATTAATTCTATATAGACCAACACTCATGAAACTCAATGTTGCAATGATCTTTAATCCAGAATCTACACGGAAAAGGAGCAGCCTTTTCCTCACCGGATGCAGCTTATGCAAGTTCGTTCTTTCCAGAAACTGCTGCAACGCAGTTTCCCTGTTCTTCTCCGATGGTGACACGAAGTTCTCCACATCAAGATCTGACCTCTTGTAAGCATCAACCATCTGCTCCTCGCCCTTCTCTTCCCGGTAGGTGTCAACCATAGCACCAAAAATGCGCAAGGCATAACCCTCTTCTCTAACTTCTCCGCGACTTTCACCAGCCACTTGTAGTAGATTGCCTACTTCATTTAAAGTAAATACTCCAGCACAGATTAACCTACCTAACAGGACTCCCATGAACTCTGGAGCTTTTGGGACATCCACTACAAGATCTGTGAATCTTGACAAAACGCGGTCAATGCTGCACCCAAACTATCATTGTCAATACGATACGCATACAAGCCGATAAAAAGCAGAAAATACCTACGACACAAAAGCATGGATGATCTCGCAAATCAACTTAAACACGAAGGGACAAACTGATCATAGGTGAACCACGTAAAAGGCATACCCAATTTCGATCTGATCACGCGATAGGAAGGGAGGATCTATTCTGTGAAGATGCAGGAGCAACTTCACAAGCAGATCTCTTTCTCTATCCTTCTTCTCAAAAGACTCCGACACCCAGATATCCACCATTTCAGGATGGTGCTTGAAAGCTTTCAGCTCTTCCACGCACAATGCCGCTTCCTTTAGGTCTGTCACGCTGCACCCCAGAAGAACATCCCCTATAAATAGATCCTGTAGAGCTCTTGACAACTTTGTACATTGGAATGACCGAAATCGATCCTATACTCTAGTACAAAAAGAAACAGTAGCAAGATAGATGCCCACAAAACATACTCACAACGAACATCGAACTTGTAACAACCAATCTTCAGATTATCATCAACATTGAGTCTCACTTCAAAGGCACAAAGTATTCCTGAACAAAAAACAAGCCTGAAGCCAAAGGTTCACCTTAGAGTGGCTTACCTATAGTATTCATTTATAGTAGATTCCCACTTCTTCTTAAGTTCTTCAACACTTAAAGCGGAGGGCGCGGAAGATGGACGAACTGACACGAAAGGTGCGGTGTGCTCCGTCCGATGAGGCTGGAAAGTGCTGGAAGACGAGCTCAATGAGTTAGATCTTTCTACTAATCTTTGCTGCTCCAGTGTACTTCGGAAGTCTCGTAAACCTGGGCTCAACCTGTCAGCTCCAATTGGTCTGTCTAGTACGGGTCTTTCAGCTGATCTGGGCCTTTCAGCACTAGAAGGTCGCATTGGAAGTTCATCTCGATTACTGTAATGTGATCTATCTTGGGCATGCCCTAAAATAGACCCTAAACTTAATCGACGTGTATCAGAACCCGATGTAGGTACCGCATCTGACAACGCACTGCGCCCGGTACTTAACGACAGCTGACGGACACCCACCCTACCAAGCCCACCTTGTGGGCCTAAAGTGATGCTGCCCTCATCAGCACCCCTCTGCGACAGAGGCATGGGGACAGGTCGAGCATCCATCATCAGGGATCTATCCTCCATTCTCACGTCCTGAATAAACCCACCCCCGCCGCGCATCCCTCCTTGTGGAGATGGCGCCCTTCGCATTCCTCCCATAGGCGGTCCTGTTTAGACAATGCGCACGTCGCGTCATAAAAGTCTGCACGTTAAGCGATTAAACTGACCAAGCGGTGGACAATAAACGCTAACATGTTTTAGAATAACCGGCAACTGAACCATTTAAACTGAAGTGAGTTTAAGAATTAAGGTTGTACACTACCAAATGTTTACAACCAAGCATGGCACACGGAAAATGATAATCTAAAGTGACGGCTAAAACTGCTGTAATTGAACCTAGATGGCGACTTCGCACACAAACAAAACTGCGATGGCTACAGATAACATCATTCTAAAACTGAACAGTCCAAGGAATGATATGATTATTAATCTGAAGCTTACCAGACCCCATAGGACCAGGGGAATACATGGGCGATGGAGGACCTCGGATGACAAAATCTGGACCGGATCCCATCCTTCCCCGACTACCTCCTCCTCCCATGCTAGGACCTCGCCCTAGGCGATCCCCACGCGAAGCATTCTGCCTTTCTTGGACAGCATCTCTATGCACTTCATCAATCTTTTTTGGCCCATCAACCTTCCTTCTCTCCTGCCAACCATTCCTCCGAAGTTCCATGACATCTTTCAACAAGAATCTAATCCGGGCCGAGAGCTTTGTGTTGTTTGAAAGTGACTCCATTCTTCTGAAGTAGGCATCAATGTGCTCCCTGGCTTTATGGTGGTCAATGATTCGACCAATAGTGCTCATTAGCTTGCACAAAGCCTCCACATCTTCCTCGTCAGGATTGTGGTATTCGCCTAGCAACTTCTTAATGCATTCGTGCATAATCCTTTCAGTCAACATGCTTTTTTTGTAAAGTTCTCCAATGAAACGAATGTTCCCCAACATTCGCCTCCGGGCCTTCAGTCGTTTCTCCTCCCTCTCTTCCGGTGTCATCTTTATTTCGACGTGTTCTTCTTCGTCTTTCTCTGCTTCTTCTTGTTCCCTTTCCCCACGCTCGAATTCTTCTTGACATTTGTTCAATAAGACACGCTTGAAAGTAATTTTTTCATCGTTTTCGTTGAACTCTGGTAAGTCTGCAGCAAGTTTGACGCAGAACTGGGCATACATCTCACAAAATGTGGGTTCCATAAGTGCCTTGTCAAAAATCTGTGAGATGACACCGGTAAGCGTGGTAGCAGAATCGATTTTGGCTTCCTGAACCTGAACAAACAACTTATCAAAATTTTGAGGTGTGAGCTTGTTCAGTATTCCCTTGATTAACCTTTGCTTAGCTTGCTCCTCATCTGATACCTTACCAACCTCGTATCTATTCTCTGCCTTGTGAATTGCAGGCAGAGGAGTCCTGGGCGATGGGATTAGGCCAGGACCCTTCACTCCTGACATTGGCTGCCGAAGCCACCTGTCTCCATCCACACCATTCGGGCTGCGGGCAGGTGGACCAGGTGTCATATAGTGTCCTAGGGGCATGTTGCCTCGTGAAATCAAACCCGGAAACCCAGCCTGAGCAGGCATTCCAGGCCATTGTTGCGGCAGTTGCGAAATCAAACCGGATTGCATACCCTGTCCTGGCCGGAAGCCACCTGGAATATCCATGCCCATGCGTGCATCCCCAGGTTGATTCCTTCCTGGAGATGGGACTACTCCGGATTGTCTGATCCAGCGATCCTCGTCAGGTCCTAGCTGTATCCCACTTCCTCTTCTCTCCAGTCGTTGTCCGCCACTGGGCTGCCAATCCAGGTTTCGAGCAGGACTAGTCAGTCCATCACTGAAAAGTTTGTCCTTGTCCAGCAAAACATCAGTGATGTCATGCTTAATTTCAAAATTGGGAGGGAATTCCCTGTTTTGGTCCTTGAAAGTCATCAAGAAATCACGTGTGTATTTCCTATCACCAGTATCCACAAGATGAGGGAACGATATGGTTGGAGTTGGAAGTTCGGCAGCATCCTCCCAGTCATCCACTTCATTCGGCAAAGATTTATCTGGCGTTATAGCAGAATCCTTCGCATCATTACCTGAGGGACCCGCACCAGAAACCTCCGCTTGCTTCACCTCCACTGACTTCTTCTCTTCAGGTGCCTTATATGCATTGTACAGATCTGCAGTGTTACCGGCTGCATCTGCCCGTGCAAGGAACTCTTTCCTACTCTTCTTCTTCCTGCTCCCGACTTTAGGACCCTCTCCCTGGCCAGAAGTTGGATTCCCAACGACTGCAGGTTCCACTGAATCTGCTTCGCTTTCAACTGCATTCAGAGTCTCAATTACTTCTGTTGATGACATTCCTGAGGTACTACTCAACAACGGAGTGGTCTGCACCTCAGATCGAGATTCTCCAACTATCAATGGAGCAGTGTCTTCAGCTTTACTAGAATTGCTCGCAGCAGACTCCGTATGTTCCGACGGCCTCGAGTCCTCGCCTCCATTCTCAAGTGAGCCCCTAATGCTATCCAGCGGGCCTAACGAGTCCCTACTCTGCACCTCCTCAGATGTGAAGATCATCATGCCACCCGATGATGGATTCGACTGTAAAGCCTCTTCCGCAGTGGCTACTTCAACAGCCTGGGGAGTCTCTTCGGTTGTGTTCAAAGCAGTAGCAGAGTCTTGTTGGGAAGACACCATCTTGTTTTCAAACATACATGTATCCAGATTTGAATGTAAAGGACTTCCAGGAACTACCTCAGGAACGTATTTACTACTTGTAACCTGTATATCTGCTACATCATTCTCCTCCACTGAATTTATATCAACGGCCAAAACGCCCGATTCCTCAATTACCACAACTTCACTCCCACCGGTACCCTTGCTTCCAGGAGCTGATTCCGAGTGTAGTGGTGTGGGTAAGTCTTTCATTGTGGAGACATCCTCATTTACGTCTGGCACATCAGGAGCCCATTCTACTGCAGATTCACCAGTTAGCGCATGATCAGCCTCTGATGATGGGGGATCAACCTGCTCAACAAAACCCGCATTCTCCTTACGCAAGTCAGCCACCGTGGGCTCCGCATCATTAACAACACCCTCGTTCTCAATTGCCATCTCAGTACTGGCCTTATAAAATGTTGGCTCAGATGTAATAGTGTCAGGCTCTACTTCGATGCTGTTCGTCTCAACTTTTACCAGTTCCTGATCAAAACTTGAGCTGGCTGCGGAAGGGTTCACAGAAACTCTCACGTCTTCAGGAACATCGTCCTCCACAACTGCCAACTCATTCGCCTGAACCTCTGCAGGTTCGTCCTTAACTAACAACGAAGGAAGACCAGTGGAGGAAGTGGAAGCGGTGGACCCATCTGAAATCAATACTGATGCATCCGTCTTCAATGAGGTTTCGATTTCGGCAGGCGTTTCTCCCTTACTCTCTTCATGCAGAGGCCGCACAGGAACGGACTCAACCTCATCTTTCCCAGCAACAACTTCTTCAACCGCTAGAGACTCCGTGTTCTCTTTAGTTGTATCTAGAGAAAGACAGAACCACAATCATGTGCACTAGTGAGAACACGAAACTTCATAAAAGCATCAAGCAAAGTTCAAAACCACCTTGGATTTAGACCTCCGAATGAATACATCCAAGACCATAGGCATATTGACACATCAAAAATACCAAACCCACAGCCTGTTCAGTTAAAATCTATGAAAGATGTCATGGATCTCAGACCAGCAGTTGCACCTGAATTTAGCTTAGGCAATCACCCTGATTGTGGTCATACATACCTTGAACTGAGTTTTGGCTACCGAAGTTGACATTGGGCAATTTGGGCTCTTCCGGCTTACTTCCCAAATTCTTCACTGGCGTGTAAACCGCACTACTACCATGGGCTCCAGATTGAGTCCTTTGCAAGCCCGATTTATGGCCGCCGGAAACACCTAAACCTGGTGAAATGAGCTGATCCGAAGTCTTTGCACCTTCAGAGATGGGCAAATTTGCTGCAAGAGCCTGCTGCTGCTGCCGTTGCCGGTCCTTCTTGCTGCTCTTTCTCGTATTTGGGTTCCCAGATGATTTCACAGCCTCTGATTTAACTTTCTCTCCGAATGCTCCTGCACTGCCTGTGCCAGGAGGAGTCTTAATTTTTGGACTGATACCACTTGCATTTGAATTGCCTGAACCCGGCTTAGGAGGAATAACAGTAACAGCTGGTCGATTCACAAGGTCTGAAGCCTCAGGAGAGGTTGAGCTGGCTACAACACCCACAATTGGGGCATTACCACTGGCATTGTTAGGTTCTACCCGTGTGGATGCATGTCCAATTACACCGTTCAGTGAACCTTCACTACTTGCTTCTCCAGTGGCAACTGGGGTGGAGCCCGATGCTTCCACATCGCCAAATTTGAATCCAACTGTTGAATTCGGTGAGGGAAGCACAGAGCTCGGGGTCAGCGGCGCAGGAGGAGAAACAGGAGGAAGAGTCAAACTAGGCGGTCTACCGTTAGAGACAATGGGGGGGTTCATCACCAGCGGAGGGGGAATTGGTCTAAGATTGCCAATTACAGCAGGAATACCAGGAACTGTAACTGATGAAGGAGGTCCCACCATAATAAGTGGGGCCACAGGAGGTGTACTCAAGATCTCTCCTGAAGTGGGGACTTGATTTGCTGACCCTAACGGAGGCCCGGGCCCCAATTGAGGGGCAACTTTTGGAGCACCAGGTGGCACTGGAGTAGTTCCTGCATGCACACCTTGTCCAGGATGAGGAGGATTAAAACTGTATCTTACAGGCGGAGAACTAGAGAGTGGTGCTCCACCAAAGGTACCTGTCTTGGGAATACTTGGCGGGTACATTTGAGGATGAGAAGGAAAGTAGTATACAGGATGTGTTGGGGGGCTGTATCCTACGGGGGCTCTCAACTGTTGCATGGGACCGTTACTGGGAACTCTACCTGCAGTCCCAAGACTAGATGAAGGCACACTTTCTACACTGTCCTTCTTTAGTAAATCAATTTTCAGTTCCTCGTGAGTGAGTGGGTTCACAATTGGAATCGCCCTGCTGCGTTGTTTGGTCACAAATTGGTTTGTAGTAGTCCCATAAGCACCTACTGAAATACCCGACGGAATTTGGCCGGGACCTAGCTGATGAGTCATTTGAGCCATGGGTTGTGGAGGTAGAGGATTGACTACCGGGTGAGTACCTAGCATTTGTGAATTATGATGAGGAGCTGCCATCATAGATTGCGGATACTTCAAACTTTGCTGCGCCATCCCCTGCTGCGGCGGCATTGGTTGCTGCTGGTGCTGTTGTTGTTGTTGTTGCTGCTGCTGGAGTTGGTGCTGATGCAGTTGGTGTTGATGCTGATGCTGCTGATGATGTTGTTGCTGCTGCATTTGAATCTGTGAATCATAGGTTGGAAGAGCATGTTACCACCGTGAAAGTATCCAACAGCGGGGCCGCCACAGAAAATCAAATAATCAGAAACAAAAAGACCAATGCTCCGGAAGAAAGCTTTTAGTCCCCGGAAGATAATCCACATTAAACTCTTGTGTATCCCTCTTTCAACTAACAGAAAAATCTACAAAAGTCAGTAAGAAATGGCATAACAAGGAGACGATCAACAAGCAAACACCAAACCACGTTGCTCTCCATAACAAGTCAGACTCTCCACTGTCCTTATTTACATGCTTCACTTTAGTCCTCACCTTCAAACCGACAATATTGATGGTTCAGCTCACGGTTAAAGGGAGCACATATTCACCTAGATGCAACGTTGAGACGGTGTTCGTGGCAATACCTGGAGTATGTGCTGAGATGGCATGTGCAAGCTGTTAACCTGTAGATGCTGAGGATAGTGTGGTGATTGACCCAATTGCTGGGGCGGAAGTGCCTGGGCTGTTGGAGCCACCGGTATTGGTCCCTGAGAACTCGTAGCCGCTTGTACAGGGGGCACCGTTGTCGGTGAAGGCTCCATTCCACTAACCACATTTCTTGTAGTTACCTATCACCACACCATCAAGTTGGTCACGAAAAGTAAGCAGAACCCGACACAAATACTAATCCTACACCAACTTACACCTCCTCGGTGGCAACGGTGCGCATGTCTGGACGTTAAATCACCACCGCAACGCCATATTACAAATTACTGGTTCCGGAAGTATAACACAACCACAACTCCAGCTTTAAATATCACTACATGTAATGAGCAACATAGCTGACAGTAGCGAACGTCCCATTTCTACTAAAACTGGTGACAGAGTAAACAAGACCACAAAATTATGCGGCCAGCTACTGGTGTCAGTAAAGATTCCCAATCACCGCCAGGAACTACGCACATCTACATAACCTGCTACAGATCGATGAGGACCATAGCAGCTACACTCTTCGCACAGGCTACTGCCAAGAAGTTCTGTCATTGTTAAGGCACCCAACCTACCTGCGCATTATGCTGCTGCCCAGATGCCGACACACGTGTGATTGACGACGGCCTGAGCTCAAAACGCGCCTGAGGAACTCACAACACACCGAGCACGCTCACAATAAATTTCAAGATGCAGAAGCGGATCAGGCAAGTTAGATAAGCACGGAGTCATTTTTAGGCACAAAATGATCTGACAGGTCACAGAGAACACTAAAAGAATTCTAGTCACTTTTAAATTTATGAGCCCGACTCTAGATCAGGGTTGACCGAAACTGTTCCATACAAGATCCTCACGGACTCAATGTTTTGATTCACCGAGATTGACCAAAATATGCCATAAGGGTCAAGCACATAACATCCGTGTTTGACGGTTCGTCGTTTAGGGATTGAATAAAGAAATCGTCACCATCGTTCCGCCCCAATTACAACTACTGACATAGAAAAAGAGATGGTAAACCAACCTGTTCACGCCTTTGCTCGTCAAGATTAGGTGGAGCAGAGTTTGTACGCAATGGATACTTTGTACATGCACAGAGCACACAAGCCCATCCTCAGCACCCAGGCCAACCTACATTATCTAAAAATAAATCGACAAAATGCATCAATGTAAACCCGACCCTTCAGCTTCTCCTTTTTTACTTTTTTAAAAATACTTAAAACGAAATAAAAAGAACAGTCCTTCATTGGATCAGCAGTGAACTTGACACACCTAGAGCAAGAACATTATTGGACTCTCATCGACTCACAATGTAAACTTACACTCGTGGACCTCAAGCGAAGAAAGGCAATGGCTCGTAATGCTTACTGGCGTTACAGAAGACTTTCCACTTGTTGAAGCACCACCAAAACCACTGGGCTCAAAGCTTCCAAATTGGAAGGAAATTGGATTTTGTGACGATTGCGAAACTGGAGGTGGTGCAGCTACATAGAAGACCCAGAAACAGCACACATGCCCCGTGAGACAACACCAACGTCGATAAACAAGAAGGCTCTACTGACTTGAACATTCTTGTTACACCATTGCGCTCGAAAAACAGCCGATTACTAGTGACGCTGAGTAAGTATCATTATTACCCAGTGAGCAAGGCAAAACGGAGCAATTATGCAAATTTTACATTCTAGCGCACACAATAATATCGCACGGCAGCTTTACCAGAGGGCGTGTCCGCTCCAGAGCCAGTGGTTATGCTAGCCGGAGGAGCAGGCGGTTTACTAGTCTGAAGTTGCTTAATGGCTGGCGGAGCCCCAGTTCCAGCATTTCCAGAGGTTCTTGCAGTAGTCACGCCCTTGGAGTCAGAATTTAGTTGTGGAGCTCCCATCTGTGAGTGTTGGTTTGCATCAGCAGACCCCACACCTTGGCGCACTCCGGTAGCTGCGAACCAAACGAAAGTTAGAGGGTAGAAGGCCATCGGAACTTCTCAATAAAGCCTGCAACGCACTGAATTATTACAACGCGGACTTAAACCCTAAAACAGGCCCACAGACTCAAGGCAGATCACTCGTACAGGCCGTGCTGACCCAACAATACGATCTACCGGCAGTCATGCAATGAAACCCACATGCCCATACATACAAAAGATTCAAGTAAAAACGTGTATCCCTTCAGTCCTACAAAACGGACAAGATGCAAGCGGCACATATCATGGTAAGCTAGACACCATGTAGTTGTTCACCTTGCTGCTGCTGATTGTTATGGTGCAGAGGTAGGGCCGCCTGCTGATGGGCTTTGTTGTTGGCACCTTGCTCCGGAGGCCCTCCGCCAGAAGCAGGAAGTCCATTCGCGCGCTTTCCACTGCCAGATATAAAGACGTGACAAATAAGTGCCAATTTCTACACGATTTCTAAACGAGAGTGAGAAGGCCACCCGTCAGAACAAACCGGACGAGCGATCATCAACCTACGCCGATGGATATTTCAGCACGGTTAGTCCCTCAAAATCACATCCCCAGGAATGAACGACTCATTATCCTAACCGAAAGCGGTAATATGAACGAAAACGCTATACATGTTTTGTACACTTCTAATTTTTATTTTTATCTTTTTAAAAGAAAAGAACTGATGCAAGAGAGAAACACTGCTGCGCCACGACACCCTCTAACACGACGCATGCGGAAAGGTTCAATCGAAGGCAGTAATTCCCAGCTCGCCAGGCATTGCCCAAAGCAACCTACAGACGCAGGAATCTGTAGGAATCAATTTCGAAGTGTAACCACCTAATGTTTCTTCGTGCTCTCGCCTTCACGTTCGCATCTCTTATGTTTCCAGCTTAATGAGTATCTACTAGATGTTCCGTCACAAAAATGCTAGGGAAACAAAGAACCAAGGTAGAGGTGTCCAAGTGCTACACCAACCCTAAGCTTCCTCATTCAAAGAAGTGATGCTAAGCCTCATTTCCAGCGGGCACTCTAAAACCTCCGATTGTGACGCTTCCACAACCATAATGAAATTGCACACAGCTTGTAGGACACGGAGGGTGCCTCCTTAACAACCTCAACCAACGGAACAAACAACCACTCACAGGGCTAACCGCCTCCCATAATGCAAGTCAGCCGCAGAGCTATCGTGCACCGGTAATGGAATTGATATCAGCATAGAGAGGGATCAAAACCAGGCTTCTCGTAACATGATTGGTATTTGTGTCACTGAAGATTGTACCAGGAAACTCAGTGCATCCTTTCACTGATGCATCCATTAAGTGCCAAACATCTTCTCTACCTCATGAAAAAAAATTGGAACAGCATTCCACCCAGACGAACACACTCAAGAAAGCGTTGAAACCATGCAATTCCCAACGAACGGCACTGTTGCAGCGCAGGCGACGGGACCTCCTAACTTTTGACAGCAAACATTTCCCAACGCACCAGATCCTGGTAATTTAGCAATCATGGGCTCCATAAATGAAGCCCTAATAACTGAATAATACGATAACCTGATCGACAACTGAAAGTCTCCGACGCGAAGAGACAAGCTATCAGTGATTTCCTCCGATCCCACAGCACTGTAATCACTAGGCAGGAAAAGGAAGGTGCAACCAGTAAACTCAGGAAACCGAGTGCATCCAAAGCTTACCCGCGGTTGATGGAAGCGGCCACAGCGGCCGGGCGAGCTGAGGAGGCAACAAAGGAAGATGGCTGCGGCGGCCCCCCACCACTTGGGGCGCTGTTGAAGGGACTGGGCCCTCCGCCCTTCACAGGAATCGGTTGACCGCCCCCGGCTCTTGGGTGCCCAGCACTGCCCCTTCCAGCTTTTCGCAGCTGTGCCTCGCTCCGGTCTCCCTTGCTTAGGTAATGGGACATATATGGGTGCTTTCGTCCCCTCTCGTCTGGTTCTTTAAGGGAATCTACCGATCCGCCTACTGCAACCTACCCGTCCACCACCACAAGACAACAACCACCCCAGTCTCTCCCGTCTCACGCCAGTCCGCACTCGCGCATTTCACCCAAACCAAGCCCCTACACACTCCCCGCCACGCTCACCAAACCCTTATCTTCGTCTCAAAAATCTCAGCGCGTCTGGAATTGCCAAAATTGAAACTCTCGCTCGGCTCGCCTCTCGTCCACACGCCCAATGCATCCAATACGCTAAGATGCAAAGATCGCCACGTGAAGGTTCCCCTCACGGCACCTCGCCAACCAAACCCTAACGATCACGCCTTCGCAACGTTCCGGAGGGGAAAGAGGAAGAGCAGAAGGAAAGGGGGTAGGGAGGGGAAAAAAAGGGAGGATGTCAGGAAGAAGGGAGAAGAGAAGAAATTAGAAGAAGAAGAAGAAGAAGAAGAGGAGGAGGAAGAGGAGGAGGAGGATTCACAAGGCGTGCGACGTCGTCAGTCGGCGAAGGCGGAGGAGGAGGATGCTGGTCTAATGTTGAATGATGATGTGAAGCAACGCCTCCGAGTCGCGGTCATTAGGTCTGATGTTGGTAGTTCGTGTTGCGGTGGAGTTGAAGCCTTGTTGGAACGAACCCAGCTCTCCCCCTCTCCCTCTCTCCTGCCTTCCCCCTTTTCCCCCCTTCCTCCCTCCTAGGGTTCCTGCCAAGGCCAGTGACGCCACCGGGCTTCCCCGGTGACCCCGCCCTGCTGGCCTGGAACGAGCGTTGTTCCCCTTCCCCGTTACTTTGTAAGTCCTCTCCTCCTGCCTTCCTTCCTTCGTTGCCTGTTCATGGCAGCGAAATATTGCACATGTAGTATCTTGCGAGGTCTCACCATCAAAGCCGGAGTCTCACCCCGCCTTCTGGGATTCAGACAGTTGGAGGTTGCTGACTCAGCAAGTCCCTCCCTCCCTCTAATATATTCTCTTCTCTTTCCCTTCCATTTTGATGAGGGGCCCTAGTGGGGTTACCTTTGTACCTACTACATACTCTTGATGCTTAGAAACTATTCTATAGCAATTGTTTGTGGATTATTTCCATTGAACCATCACATCACTAACTCTCGGAGCTCCAATAATGACTTCCTTGACTAAAATATGGCAAAACTAACTTAACCTTTCCATGAATATAATAAGTTGATATCAATCAAGTAAAAGAGAAGTTTAGATCTTGATTATATGGTTTAATCCTGATTATATTGGTCAAAATGGCAAGAATTACGGGTTGTTTTGCAAGCAAAGAAAAAAAAATTAATAAGTTTAATTAATAGGCATTAAGAAATTGCTATTAATTTATAAAGTGCAATTACTAATTTAGATCTTTTTTACAATATTGCATGTATTATCACCTATCTCTTGAAATAATTATATTTGAGTTTTGTGAATATACACAAGCAAGGAAATATGAGATTTGAAAAACATTAATCTTGAACAAATTTGTTACATGTTTTTAAAGATAGATGATGTAGTAAGGTATTTTTAAAAGAAATAAAAGATTTTTAATAAATAATTCCTCCAAAAAAAATAATTATATATATATATATAATTTAAAGCCACATATTTGTAGATAATTTGGATAAAAAATATATTATAAATTTTGAAAATAAGTCAAGCAATAAAAAATTAATATAATTAAGAAAGTTTTCAAGGATGTTCTAAATTTATTTGAATAGACACCAAACTAAAGATCTTACAAAACTATAAAATATTTTTTTTATTTCTAAATAGATAAAATTAAATAGAGATAAAAAAAGATATTATAGAATCTAAAAATAGATAAATATTAGATAAAAATTTGAAATATTTTATAATAATTTAGTGACAACTTTGAATATAATATATAGGTTTTTGAGTCAAATCATGATATTTATCAAAATTTAAACATTAGTTAGTTTTTGGAGCAAGAGCAAAGAAAATAAACAAAACCTTATCTTTCCTAGCCTCACTTGTAATTTCTTGTCTTTATGCTAGATTGTCTTCACTTAACTAGATTTAAAGTCTTGTCTATAGGAGGTGCATTGCAATGGTATTGGAGAAATAGAGTCTAAATATTACCTTCCAAGTGCAAGTAAGATTAGAGACAAAGCAAGAGAGACATCATAATTAACATAACAAACATATTATAAATATGTTTATAATACATTGTAAACACCATAAACCTTGTAAGAGCAAGTCTTCTGAGAAAGACTTATCATATGAATCAAATTCTCTTGTGTGATATAATTCCTAATTTATAATGTAAATGGTAAAAAAAGACCACTTACATACAAAAAAAAAAAAAAAAAAAAAAAAAAAAACTAATTCTCAATAATATGTTTCAAGATTTGTTTTAAAGATGAAAGTGTGAGATTTTAGATATTTATGTATTCTTCAAACCATTAATTATTGCAAAATATATATTATGAATACATATCAAAATATTATATATGAATATTAAAATTAGAAAATAAAATAAATTCTAAAATCTTTGTTACAATAGTATAAAATATATATTCAAAAAAAACTTATTTTACATGTTTTTATAGTCCTTTAAGTTTCAAAAATAAATATTTTATCTATTATTGTATAAATAATCAAAATGATTGTATTATATGGAATCAATGCTAATATTATTTAAATAAATGCATATATGTAGAAGTAAATATAGTATATTATGTAGATAATATCTTTCTCAAGAAACTTTAATAAAGTTTCTTAGAGATAAATTAAATATTTAAATTCTAATAGATATACCAAATGACTATTGAAATTTGTACTCTATATTTTATATCTTTACAGTACTACAATAAAAGCAACCTACAACTTGATGTTTGAGCCACAAATCACATGGTCTTTAGGAGGCTTCCATAAAGCCTTCTTAATAGCTAGTATATCAAAAAACAAGAGTGATGCCATCTTTAGACTTGTCAATGTATTATTATTATTATTATTATATGTATTCTAGCCCTTGTTCAAGTCTCTTTAGCATCTTTTTATTGGAATATAATTGTTTTAGTTCTTTATTTCCTTTCTTCCTTCTCTTATTAATGATATATGTGTATAATATCTTTTGAGTTTTGTTTAGATTCATATCTTTGATAATTCGATAAAATTAATACTTCTACTAATAGTTTTTGATTTTTTAAAATAAAGAATAGATTTCATCTTCTCTTAAAAGCAATAAAATATTTTAGAACTTACAAATTATCTTCTTCTAAACAGATATTTTTTTTACTATTAATAATTTTATATAATAATTTTAAAGTCGTTTTAAATAAGACAAATTTAAAGAAAATAAAAAATTTTATATTAGAAAAGTAAGAACAAATGAGAGATTTGATGCTTTCTACATATGAAATTTACCTATCACATCAACCAACTCCAAAGAGTATTTAATCTTTAAAACATAAAAATAAACAGATTTTTTTCAATAATTCGACCACTTCAAGTAATTCATCTAAATTACTAGGTAGAAAATCAAAAGTTGTCATTATAAAGAAGTTTGATGCTACTTGAAATTAGTTTTGAGGATTTATCAACTAATAATAATTTTTTATTCAACTCAAACTTCTAAGTTATCTTATCAAAGTATCTTAAGTTCAATCTAATAGAATAATATTTAGTGGATCTGTTCTTTCTCAATTCTTATCATTTTTAGAATAATAAGATGATATATTGAATAATTTAGATGTATTTTTTGTAAAACTTTAATCTAAATATAGAAAATATGATGTAACTTATATTTTAATTAATAAAATCTAAATTTTATAGAAAAAAAAATCAATTTGAGTTAATCTATGCATTACTATTTTAACAAATAGAAATTGATATCAAATAGAATAATACTACACTCTTAAATCAATTTAAATTTTAAGTTTGAACTTGTTGTGAAGATTTTTTTTTATTTTTATATTTTTAACTTTCTTGATTTTAAAACTTTGAATCAAGCTATTGATTTTTCTATTAAATACAATAATTAATTTGATGCAATTTAATCAAAAAGTTGTATGTTAACACATCAACACTTTTGTATTACTATTAGAAATACTTCTATTAATTAAGTTATACAATAAAATTTAAAATACATGTAAATTAATAATAAATTTTTTAATTTCCTTAGACCTATATCATTAAGAATCAAAATGTAGTGCTCAATAATATCCTAAAAAACAGAAAAATAACATGTCATGAAGATTAATTCTTAAAAAAATATACTTGTATTGGAAAATAAGTTTTCCTAAGAAAATTGACGACCTTGGGATTGAATTCTTCTACCATATCATTTTATGATGACCTTTAATTATCTTTTTAATCCTCTATTTTTTTAGTACAAAACTATTTGGAATCTAAAAAAAAAAACCTCATTTTTCTATCTTTAATTTATTAGATTTTGGTGCACTTTCTTAATTTTTTGCTAAATATTTTATTAAGTATTATAAAATATTATTAGTAAAAAAATCAAAAATATACATAAAAAATAATTAATAAATAAATTTTATCTTTAATGATGTCACCTACAAATTTATACTAATAAAAAAAATTATAAAAGGTTAAAAAAGTCTAGTAATAATTAATATTTTAATTCTTTAATCAATCTTATTATTTTATGATTATTGAGGTTGAAAACATATAATTAAAAGATGACATGGGTATCTTATAGTCTTAAAATCTTCTTTACTTATTTTTAAAATATAAAATAAAATATATCTTATTTTAAGAAAAATAAAATTTATATCTTTAGAAGTTAAAAAAAACGACTGCAAGCTATAAATAGATGATATATTTGTCATTTATACAACACCAAGTATTTATTGAAGAATAAATTTAAATAAAATCTTAAACCATTTTAAAGAATATGATTATGTATTTGAGAAGAATTTTTTTAATATTTTTCCAAAATATTGAACTTAAAATTATGCAATTGAACTTCAAGAACAAGCTTAGTCACCTTTTGGACCAATTTATAAGTTATTGTAGAATGACTATAATGTTTTAAATAAATACATTGGCAAAAATCTTGCAAATTTTTTTTTTCAAAATTCAAAATCTCTTGTAAGTCTATCAATTTTCTTTCTAAAGAAAAAATAAATTCTTATATATATATATATATATATATATAAACCATTGTGGACTCAATTAATTAACCATTACAAATTATTATCCTTTGAATTTGATTTTGGAGCTTTATGATCAATTGAATGAAATTAAGATCTATAATAAAATAGATCTACAAAGAGCCTCGAATTTGGTATCTATAAAAATAAAAAATAAAAAATAAAAAAAAAATAAACCATGTATGATCATTTTAAATATAATTTCATGACTTTTGGGCTTACTAATGCTCTAATAACTTTCTAACATTTAACAAAGAATTTATTTTTTGAATTTTTAAATAAATATTTTTTATTATTTATATAATTTTTATCTATTTTAAGAATATAAAAGAAAAATATACATATTTGAATTAACTAAAAAAAATTAGAGATGCAAGATTATATGCCAAAATAGAAAAATGTATATTTTTCAGAATCCAAGGAAATGTTTAGAACATCCTATGGTAGTTTTCAAATAGATTCTAAGAAAATTCAAACAACTCTAAAATAAAAAAATATT